ACACACATGTCTAATAGTTGAGTTCTCTTTTCGTTGTTCCGATTAAGTGGCTGCTTGGTCGAATGGTTAAAACACTGGGTTCATGTGCGGTAGACCTGGGTTCGAATCCGCAGTTGTTAAATTTTTTTTTTTACCCCAGACTAAAATAATATCCTTATCTGCTCTGTCGTGGTGACAGCACTAGCCATGTTGCCTTAATATTTAAAAAAAAAAAAATAAATAAAAAAAAATAAAAAAAAACCAAGTAAATGGGTAAACCATTTGATAATTAAATTTGACCATTTCGCATACTTATGATTGCATTGTTAAACTTTCCGATTGCATGGTTACGCTGAAATTTTATAGATTTTCAGTTATTTTCATTTAGATTTAGTTATTTCATCTGTGTTGGAATTTTAAGCTGTGCTGTTTACAATGGCGTTCATTTCCTAATTATGGTGTTTTTTTCCTGTGTCCGTTTGCTTTTCAAGTGTTTTTTTTTTCTCCCAACTATTTCAATGAGGGAAAGAGTTGTCGGTGAATTTGGGGAGAGAGGGGGGGGGGGGCAAACTATTAACTGAGAGAGCTTTAAGTCACAGTAACTGCTTTACCCACTTAAAGTAGCAGCAGCAGTAATAGTTGTGGTTTGGCTGTTACACCATAGTGCTCTCATGTGAAGACCGCCGGTAAGGTTATGGCGTTCTTCTGTCGGCAAGTGAAATTATACATCCTAACCTGACCAGTCTGTGGCGACAGCACTAGCCATACGGAACCAAATCTTCTGGCTCACGACACTCTGTCTGCTCCGATGGTAACACAGATAGCAGTGACATTTTTTTAGTGGTTGTACTGGTACTTAAAGGATGATGTGGTAAATATTACACTAGCCCTATTTACTACCTTTTACAATTCCTGCTCCCTATTTTAGTCCAGATGGACAGGGATGTCAATGTCAGTTACAGCAACAACAAAATATCGCCAGTTAGTGATTTTCAAATCCTTCGAAGAGGGAGAGAGCAGTAGTCGGTGGAAGAGGGGAGGTGGTAATGACTTAAATTTAAGAGAAATTAAAGAGCTTTACACTTGATTTTCAAGTTCTCATTACCTAATTTGTTTTTATTTTAGTAACGCTACCTCCGCTTTTCTATTTTTTACGACTTACTTTGTTATTCACAAGTACAGTTGTAGCTTTACTTCCGTCCCCTATAAAAATACAAACAGCTTTAGCATGTGATAACCAAATAACCATTTTTGTTATTGTGCTAATAACACCATTTAAACGACCACTAATATAAAGAAACAATTATAAGGTGCGTGTTCTAAAGTTGGAAAACCAGACTATCTCTATATCTGTGCAGAGAATGATTGCGACATTAACTGTATTAGACACGTGCGATTTCCATTGTCTTTCTTTTCCAAAAACCTTTGATGAGGGAGATAGTAGTAGGTGGATTTAGTTGTGGTGGTGGGCGGGGATCAAAGACTATCTCTATATCTGAGCAGTCAATGATTGTATTAGACACGTGCGTTTTCTATTTTCTTTCATTTCCATTTAGCCAAACTATGCCACAGCAACGCGTGGCCGGGTACAGCTAGTTCTGATATAAATTTGAGATAGGTACACAAGGACTTCTATGGCACGGGCGTTGCAAAAGCGATTGGTAATTAGGAGTTATCTGGTTCAATTCAAAATGCGAACGATGTGTGCAGCAGGCCACCTTGCGTTTGATTTCGACAGGGTCACCGAGAGAGGCTGTTCAGCAGGCAATGGCAAATTGCTGAACGAAAGTTTGCCCAGTAAAACCAAAACAAAACAAACAAAATACTTTGTTCTGAAAGGTTACGCTACTAGTGGGGGGGGGGAAGGGGGGGGGGGAAACAGTTTAAAAAAAATGTAAATTATCCTCTACATTACGCATTTGAACCCAAAGTCATTGAGCTAGGAGGCAACTATCTAGCATGTGCGCCATTTCGGCTTCCCTTTACCAATATTGTGTAGACCAGTCGGGACTGGGTGGGGCTTTGGTCAACATCACTTCTGCCAGCTTCAGTTTCTGTGCTGAATGACCTAGTTGAAACTGTAATCACCGAATGGAATAATCCTCTCCCTGCCCAGCGATAAATTCTCGCTTTGGGATTTCTCGACAGAAATCCTGGTAAATATTTAATACGTTTTCTCTTGTAGCCTCATACAGCCAGTGAAACTTGTTAAATCCCATTGTAGTGAGATATGTTTGTTAGTTGTTTTTTTTTTGGGTTGGGGGGGGGGGGTTGAGGGGGGGGGGACAGATACATGACGGTAAATGTTTTTGTTTTGTTTGCTTTTCAATTAAATATAGTCTTCCTCTTCCTGTTACTGTTGTTGTTGTTGTTGTTGTTGTTGCTGCTTAAAGTGTTGAAAAATAAATGAAAAGCTTGCATTTTGGTGAAAAAATCCTTCATATGCTACCGGTGCATCTTAACTATGGCTGTTAGTTTGCCGGGGACAAAATTAGAACCCGATCAGCCAAGACCGTCCACAGCGTATCAACATGTGTTGCCAGTGTATCAGAGATATATTGGCAATTCATATTAAAATGTGTTGGCAGTGTGAGAAAGATGTATTGGAACTATATAAAAATATTTTGGAAGTGTGTGAGAGATGTATTGGCAATTCATATTAAAATATGTTGTCAGTGTGTGAAATATTTATTGGCAATGCATATTAAAATGTGTTGGCAGTGTATGAGAGATGTATTTGAACTATATAAAAAATGTATGGTCAGTGTGTGAGAGATATATTTGCAGTTCGTATAAAAATGTGTTGGCAGTGTGTGAGAGATATACTGGCAATTCATATTAAAATGCGTTGGCAATGTATGAGAGATATATGTGCAATTCATATTATAATATGTTGGCAGTGTATGAGAGATGTGTTGGTAATTCAAATTAAAATGTGCTGGCAATGTATGAGAGATATATTGACAATTCATATAAAATGTGTTAGCAGTGTGTGAGAGATGTATTAGCAATTCATATTAAAATGTGTTGGCAGTGTGTGAGAGATGTATTGGCAATACGTTGTCTGGCTAAATGGAAAAGACAAGAAAAAGAATAGAAAGCACAGCTGTCTGATATAGTTAACTTCACAATCATTGTTTGCGCAGATATGTAGACTGGTTTGCTGACTCTAGAACACGCAACATATAAATGTCTCCTTATTTTAGTGGTCGTTTAAAGTGTAGTACTAGGAATTTAAAATTAAAAAAAGGTATTTGTTTAGCATATGCTAAAGTTTTTGTATGTTTACGAGAGCTCAAAGTAAAGTTTACTAATGTGCGTCTAAGAACCTAACAAATCTACCACCCCCGCACCCTGCCCCCTTTTCAATCCACTGATTACACCCCTTTCCCTCTCTAAAGGTCTTTAAGGTCATGATACATTTTTTTTTCATTGACCTTCGCATGGGTGTCTACTAAGACAAAACATGATAGCAAGAATTGTAATCAGAAGTAAATGGGCCGAGTGAAATATGTACCACATCTCGCATCTATTACCAGCACCGCAACACCTAAAGCAACTGTCACTTCTGTCTGTTGTATCGCCATTTTAGGTCGGTGTAGGCAGCGGGTCGTGAGCCAAAGAAGCCGCATGGCTAGTGCTGTTGCCATGGACTGTTCAGATTAGGATCTGTGTGCTCCTGACATAAAAACTGCATCACCTTACTGGGGGTTAAACCTCGAATTCCCGCTTTACAGCCCGACGTTGTAACCATTAGGCCAATCACAACTATTACTATTCTGTTGCTCCTAACACTGCTACAATGATGACTAGTGGGTGAGACTTCCTCGACACGGGCGGCAGCTATTTCATTGATGTTCACTGACATGCATCGCCAAGTTCGTGTCGAGGGTGGTGGATATGGGATGCAGCCTGGAGCACTAACAGCAAAAGTTGTCGGATTAATCACCACAGAACGGGCATCGTTGATTTGGGGGGTGTGGAGTTATGGAGAAAAAGATCCTATGGATCTGTCTGAAATGCTGTGACGACAGTGCTCACTAATCAGTACTCTTTACTTACCATATCCATTTATTCCCAGACAGTCTTTCAATGTCATATTGTTTTAATTATCTTGCCGTACTAATTAGGATGCAATTTTTCCGTATTTGAAACCCTACTCCGGCTCATGCCAGGGGCCGCAATATAGCCCGGTCATAAATATGGCCTAATGCTGAACGCGGTTTCTAGGACCTTTCCACGGTGATCCTCATCTACATAGTGGTACATTGTGTTATCGGGTGTTTATCGCTTGTGTGATGTCCTGGTGGGGTAGAAAGTCAGTCAGTCAGTCAGTCTTTTAAAAATACTCTTTTTTATTCCCTCAACTATTAATTCCAACTTGTTCTGATTCCCATATTTTTTTACTTTTCCAAACAGTCCTTTAACAATTTGTCATCCTCATAACGAAATAATTCATTGTCTCCTACAGATTTATGCAGATTTTTGAGGTCAACAGTCAAAGTTCGGAAACGCGGCAATGAAAAGAAAATCGATCTTGGAAAACAATTCAAGATGCCAGTGTGATCGTAACTGGAACTATGTAGTTCATGCTTTGTGGACATCCTTATACAAAAACACGCGCACATCAAAAAGCAAATATGTGTCAAATTTTAAAAGCAATCGGTTGAGAACTTTCTGAGATTAGATGTTAATAACAAACGAACATTTAAATTTTTATTTATATAGTTAAACAAGTATATTGGCAGTGTAAGAGAGACGTATTGGTAATTTATATTACAATAGATTGGCAGTGTATGAGAGATGTATTGGTAATTTATATTACAATATGTTGGCGTTGTATGAGAGATGTATTGGTAATTTATATTACAATATGTTGGTTGTGTATGAGAGATGTATTGGTAATTTATATTACAATATGTTGGCGTTGTATGAGATATGTATTGGTAATTTATATTACAATATGTTGGCGTTGTATGAGAGATGTATTGGTAATTTATATTACAATATGTTGGCGTTGTATGAAAGATGTATTGGTAATTTATATTACAATATGTTGGCGTTGTATGAGAAATGTATTGGTAATTTATATTACAATATGTTGGGGGTGTATGAGAGATGTATTGGTAATTTATATTGCAATATGTTGGCAGTGTATGAGAGATGTTTTGGTAATTTATATTGAAATATGTTGGCGGTGTATGAGAGATGTATTGGTAATTTATATTACAATATGTTTGCGGTGTATGAGAGATGTATTGGTAATTTATATTGAAATATGTTGGCGGTGTATGAGAGATGTATTGGTAATTTATATTGAAATATGTTGGCGGTGTATGAGAGATGTATTGGTAATATATATTGAAATATGTTGGCGGTGTATGAGAGATGTATTGGTAATTTATTTTACAATATGTTGGCGGTGTATGAAAGATGTATTGGTAGTTTATATTGAAATATGTTGGCGGTGTATGAGAGATGTATTAGCAATTTATATTGAAATATGTTGGCAGTGTATGCGAGATGTATTGGTAGTTTATATTAAAATGTGTTGGCAGTAAATGTTAGAGGTTTATTGACAATTTATGTTAAAATGTGTTGGCAGTGTATGAGAGTTTTATTGATAATTAAAAAAAATTGTCTGCAGTGAATGTTACAGATGTATTGGCAATTAATATTAAAATTAGTTTGTCAATGTGTGTAAGAAATAATCAGGGATCCAGTAAGTGTTTCCTGAAAGAAGACCGACGTCAGTAATGCCATTGGTCGGGAAATTTCCGAACTTGTTAAAGAAAAACATTATAAACAAATAAAGAATCGAGGGAACTTATAGGAAGTTGATAAGCTGTACCCCACCAGAACATCACACAAGCGATAAACACCTAGTGACACAACGTGCCACCATGCGAAAGATTGGGCACGCGTGGAGAGGTCCCGGAATCCCTGTTCAGCTGCTAGGCCATAATTATGGCCCGGCTGTATTTAGGGCCCCCGGCAAAATTCGAGGTGGGGCTTCAAAATAACAAAAAGATGCCTCCCACAAGGTGACGACTTATACTTATATTGCCAGATCAACCAAATATGCACAGAGAGATTTTGGTTTACAATTTCTGAAGCAAAATTTGAAGATGTAAATAACTTTCAGTTAGTATCCATATTTGTAGTAGTAGTAGTAGACTTTTACCCCACCAGGACATCACAAAAGCGATAAACACCAGATGACACAAAGTGCCACCATGTGGATGCGGATCACCGTGGAGAAGTCCCAGAAACCGCGTTCAGCCATTAGACCATATGTATGGTCGGGCTATATTGCGGCCCCCGGCAAGAGCCAGGGTAGGGCTTAAAATAACGAACAATTGCATCTCACAAGGAGAAGACCGGATTTATCCAAATTTAGGCTTAATCTTTCAACACTATCTCATTCCTCTGCAGCTGCAGAAAGGGTTGTATCTCTGCTTAGGAATTTATAGATACAAATTGCTCTTTTGTTTTCAAAAGACTTTAACAGCAAATGCATTGATGATATCAAGGTTGTCGCTCTAGGACATAGGTTGCAGCCATAGGAAACAGCCACGACAGCTTCGTAACCAACAGAGCGGCGAAATTGGTGCAGCATTGATACAGTGTACACGCAAATTCAATGCTGATCAAATATAAGATAAGCCAGTATTTTATATATATATAAACATATATATATATATATATATATATATATATATATATATATATATATATATATATATATATATTAGGGTTGTACTGAATAGTGATTGTCTCTATTCGACCGAAATTTGGGGGGGGGGGGGGGGGGGCAAATCTTCTACTAACATTTTACGAATGGCTCTCTATTACACCACATTCATCTGCCATCATCCTCACAGTCAGACAACGGTATTTTCTTTATCCATTTTCTGAAAGTTGCAATTAGTTCCCCGTTACGAACAGAAATTAGGCGTCCAGGTATTGCATTAGTAGTCATTTCCACATCACTTTTGAATCATGAATACCAAAATCTGTGTACGAGATAAACAATTATTCCAATAAACTTGTCGCATCAATACAACTGTCTCAAAGGCGCTTTTTCTGAGTTTTAAACAGAATTTAATGTTAGCTTTCTGCTCCATGCTCATTACTTAACAATGCACCTCTGACTAGTTAAATAAAATGGCGGCTTGTTTGTTGTCTGCCAATCGGGCGACGATGCAAAGTTGCCAGATCATAGACGAAGGTTGCCTTTTTGGAGTCCATGCTTTGCTTTTTGTCTCATTACTTAATTGTCAGCCTGTGTAGATACATAAATATATATATGTATATGTATATGTATGTATGTATATATATATATATATATATATATATATATATATATATATATATATATATATATATATATATATATATATATTTATATATATATATATATATACAAGCATATATGTATGTGTGTGTATATACATATATATGGGCGTGGTTTTTTTTAAAAAGTTGTTTTAACGGTTTTTAAAATTTAAATTTAAAATTTAGTTCCTTTTTATGTGATCTGTTTCCTTTTCAAAAACGTTTGTGGTGCCATCCTCCCCACCCCCCCCCCCCACCCCTCAACAACAACAACAACAACAACAACAACAAAACTGACATCCCTCTATGCATGAAGTCAAAGAATAAGAAACCTCACAAAACTAATGCCATCAACAACACAGTGCTGCATTTAGAGAAAAGAAGATCTCAGCGGTTATGGACTGCACGGTTCGATGCCCAACGAGTATAATCTGTAAACCACTTGACTATCTACACGGACCTATTGAAACAGTTGAGCCGCCCGACATATTGTCATTGCGCCAGTGACATCAAAGGGGCCTGACTTTGTTTAAACATATTATTGAAATTTAGTCAGGGGACTAGAAGTCCCATAATTGACATAATAATATTATCAGTGCAACTAGCAAGCATGTCGAAGGAGGCCACTAAATGGGTGGCTGAGCTTGGGGTGGGTTACTCCATCCCACAGTAATCCTTTAGCCTGGAGAAGATTACAGTTGGTTGCATCTCGTTTACATTATGTTGCAGAGCCGACCCTCTCCTGTTTTATTTTGCTAGGCAGTTTTACTTTTGGTAGTTTGCCATTAACTGCTATAGAAAGATTCTCAGAATATCCTGGACGAAAAAGAAGAGAAATACTGACATCTTGAAAAATCTGAATATCAAGGAAGATTGGCTCATATACAGCATCCTGTCTCGTAAGCTGAAATATTTTGGTCATTTCAAGCGCCACGACGGATTGGAAAAAAATTACCAGGAAGGAGGGACAGGGGCTGACCAACATAAAGATGGGCACAGGATATAAGTGAGGATGAAAGTAAATGAGGCGGTATAGCAGGCGAGAGCAGTGTGGGGAAAGGGGGGGGGAGGGGGTTAAAGGAGAAAAGAAGAACATGCCATAGCAAAGAAAGGAGTGGAAAAGGATAGGAAAAAGTAGCATGGGAAAAGGAATTTAAAGGGGGTGAAAAACTATAATACTATATGTTTAATGTTCACTGTTTGAATGCAATGGACATTATGAAAGTAACACCCCATATTTGTTTCCTTTGCAAATTATGTGGACATAAATATTTTGCATTTTGAAACTTGAAATGTCAATATAATGTCAACTGTATATGAATACATTCCTACACAAAGACAGTTGCACTAATCCGTAATCTGTATATAAGTAGACGATTACAATATGCGTTACAAACAGCCACATGTAAAACACATGATTGTGGAAAGCGAATATGTTATACACATTTTTTGTGCTGTGTGTGTAAGTTGTGCAGTAAATGGGAGCGCCCCCCCCCCCTTTTTTTCATATAGTTAAAGCTTCATAATGTGGACAGACGGATACCCAGAATGTTTTTTATCTTGGAAAACAATCTATACATAAAAAAATGCACACATATGTAAATGCTTCTCTTTCACATTGGCCATAGGTCATAGAAAATTATATAGAAAATTTGATTGTCTGGAAGTCATGATAAGTTTAATTGTCAATTAAATTCACATTTTGAAAAAAGATGTAAGAGGAGGAAATGTGACTTTTTTTTAATGATAAAGGAAAATATATATGTGTGTGTGTGTTTGTGTGTATATATAGTTAATTAGTTAGTCGACATATAATCCTCATTTTCGAACCACTCAGTCCATGGGTACTCAGATCCCCTCCTCGGTAAATTCCGCAGCGTCTAGCTTTTTATTCTTCTTTGACTATCCGCGTAGTGCTCTTCTTCGGCGACACCCCGTTTAACATGTGGTTCTTGCAGTCGGACCATAATTGCAGCTTTACTGTGCTCAGTTGATTCACGCAAACGTCTTAACTCTCTTAGAGCACAATTCCAATACAGTATACGAATTTTGTTGAGGCCCAGGCGGACGTATTTGAACCATGTTCTCCTAGCCCCAGCGCGTCTACTTTACCTCTTCCGCCTTAAACCACGACTTCGAGGCTTGTTTGCTTTGAGAACCAGACCCTGTTCCGCTATTATCGAAAACCGAACACCTAACATTGTAGGTAACCACACACGCTGAAAAGATAAAACTCAATGATGGTTTTGCTCAGATGCACGAACTCCGTAGCACCGGCGAAAATCTTGAGAAAAAAGGAAAACTTTTGATTACATCTCGGCACAAAACAATACACGTAGAGGATGTAAAACATTCATATTAACGTGAAAATAAAGCAGTTACGAAAAATCACAACTGTCCACCGCCATTGAACCGGAAGTTATTGATGTGTGTGTATGTGTGTATATATATGTATATATATATATATATATATATATATATATATATGTGTGTGTGTGTGTGTGTGTGTGTGTGTGTTTGTGTGTGTGTGTGACTGTGTGAGCGCATATGTTTGTCTCTGTGAGTTAAAAGGAACGCTGACTGAGTTAGATGCAGAAAATGTCATACATATTAATGTAGCAGACAGCGTATGAGAAGAAAACGTCTGCATCTATCGAAGTTTCCAGTGACTTGTGAAGCTTCTATAATGATCAAAGAGACTCAGGAAATATGCATTTCTGTGCTTGAGTCAGTAGGGAACAGATGCCCATTCTGTACAACATACGGTGATAGAATGGACACCCTAATGCAGTATGAATAGTTGAAATGTGCAGTTTTATCAAAGAACATTGCCTATCTTTCGATGCTAGGAAAAAAAATTAAGAGAAACGCATTCACATAATTCTGTGCCTGTATCCTGCATCATCTGACCTTCATAGGCAAAAAAAAAAAAACAACAACAACAACAAAATACAGATATAATCGTTGTCTGTACATGCGTCTGATTTTATTTTGTTCCGTATTTCTTGTCCAATGGTTGTTTTTTATTTTTTATTTTTATTTTTGTATAATGGAGTCTGTGTTTGCTTTCAACCCTTTTTAAAGTGAAACTATAAGAAAGTAAAGGCAAAGGTAGGTCCGTTGCCGCTTTGATGTCTTCTTCTTCTTCTTCTCCTACTCCTACTCCTCATCATCACTATTATTATAATAATTATTTTTTATCATTTTTTATTTTTATTTGTTC